AAGTCTGTGCAGAGATGGGGAGCTGGGCAGAAAGATCGCTGATGGGCTGATCTTGGCCACGTCACTTAAACTTCTTGGGCCTTGGTTCCCTTTTCTGTAAAATGGGGACAATGGTAAAGCGCTGATGGGAGGACTGGTTGAGGTCGGGGCATGTGACGGCGCTTGGTGTATCTCCGGGCAGTGAAGATGGATTGTTTCCTAAGGGACTGAAATTGACCTACCCAAGGTCACCCGGCAAGCTCAAGCAGGAGCCAGAACTTGAACCCAGGTCTCATACTGACCTACATCCTGTGAGCAGAACAGTTGCTACCGGGGAGTGGGGAGTGTTCAGCCAGTCCATCGTGGCTAGGAGGACCTGGCTATGTGGCCCGTGGGGTGGCCACAGCATTGGGTTGAGCCTGTGCTCTAGCCTCCGAGAGTGGGGATGTCAAGGCCGAGAGGCTGATTATAGCAGAGCCAGGGAGAGAAGGCCTGGGTTTGGCTTTCTCGTGTGCAGTCAGATGTGCTGGGCACTTGCTGGGTGTCAGGCGCTGTGCCAAGCCCTGGGGATAGGCCAAGCGCTGAGACGGACACAGTCCCTCCTTCATGGGGATCATGGGGACCACGCTTGTGAGAAAACCACAGCTCGACAGTGTGAAGGAGGAGCAGGTGGGACCCCCAGGCTCAGAGGTGGAAGAGAGGGCTCCAAAGGAAGGGACCTATTGGCAAAGTCCTGAAGGAGCAGAGGAGCTGGTCAGATGGAAGGGGGTGGTGCTGGGGAGGGCAGAAGACCAGAGGAAAGGGACTCTGAGGCCCCGTGATGTTTGGCACAGTGGGGAGCGGGGCTCTGGAGAGGTAGCAGGGCCAGGTGGTGCAGGGGCAGGGCTTTATCCTGAGGGAGATGGGGGGGGCGTCGCCCCCAGGCTGGGAGGAGAGGCAGGACTGCATGTGTTAGGGAAAGCCCTTCTGGCTGCTCTGTGGAGAAAAGATGCAGCCTCAAGGGGGAGAGGCTGGTGGCCCTGGCTAGTCCGGGCAGGAGGCGGGTCTCCTTGGACCACACTTGGTCAGGGCTGTGGTGATGGACCGAGTATAAAGAGAGAAGGCAGCGGAGGCACTGAGGGGGAAGCCCAGGCTGCCGGCCTCACCAGCCGCAGAGGTGTGCATGCCATTTACGGAGACAGGCACCCAGAAGGAGGTGGTACTGAAGGAGGGACATGGGAACAGGGTTCTGGGCACGTGGGTGCGAGGTGCCTGACGACCACCAGGCAAGATACTGAGGGGGCAGCTGGATGTGCAGCAGAGAGGTCAGAGCTGGAGAGAACAGCGTATCCATTGGCTGTTGGGTGATAAGTCAGGTGTTCACAGAGGGGGTTCACTGGGAGGGGTGAAGAGAGGAGAGTGCAGGCTGGAGCCTGGAGAGGGGTAAGGAAGGAGCTTGCAGAGAAGGGTCACCAAGCCAAGCAGGCGCCTCTGGAAAGCAGGCCAAAGGGCAGACAGGAAAAGGCAGCTGTCCTTTGGATTTAGCAACCCGTGACCTTGGCAAGGACAGCTGGCCAGGGAAGCTGGGTTGTGGGGGCTCAGGAGTCGGGGTGGTGAGGAGGCATGGACAAACAAGCATGGACCGTCCTTTCCAGGCTTGGGCTGAGAAAGGAAGCAGAGGGAGCAGTCGCTGGAATGGGTGTGGGTCCAGGGAGGCTTTGCAGTTGGTTGGTCAGTTAGTGACAAGATTGAACTGAGTGTGTGGTCCATGATGGCGGAATGTGCCAGAAAGCAGAGGCAGAGGCTTTGGAGCTGCTGGGGAAGGGGTGGGACCTCTACACAACAAGGGGGGGCTGATCCTGACCCGGCGTGGGGGGGGAGCGGGGGGGAGGGAGGGAAGTGAGAAGTGGGGGATGGTCCTACCCAGGAGGAGGGTCCAGCCCACACAGGACGGCTGCCCCATGCCTGTCCTTGGGCTGGGCCCTTTGGGAACCACAAAGCTGTAAAGCTTTATGGATCCTGGTCCCAGCTTTCAAGGAGCAGAGAAATCATAGGCTCCGAGCCATTCAACCAGGACCGCCCTCGACAAGTCCCGGGGCCCCTCAGTAACCATCCTCTTCCAAATCTCCGTGACGTTGCCTCAGCTGGCCGCTGCCCCCTCCAGCCCCTTTCCCCTGGCTTCCAAACCTCCTGAACTACCAGGAAGTTGCTGCTTTGGTGCCGTCTTTCTGCCCACCCTCACATTTGGGAGCCTTCTAGGCCCTTACGCTGTCCTCCTGTTATTTTCAATCCTGTCCTGAGTGGTCAGCTTCCCCCTCACAAATCTGCGCATCCCATATGCCGAGTCCTGAGGATTTCCAGCCGTGTCCTGGGCATTTCTTCAAGTCCTCCTCACAGGCATCTCACACTCAGCAAAAGACTAGAGTCCTGCATTGCTTCCCTCCAAGCCCACAGATGGTATCACTCGAACCAGCCAAGTTGAAAACTCTGATCTTTGTTTCTGCCTCACTGTGACCCCTACCCCCTCCAGATGGCCGCCTGTTCTACGACATGTGCCTCTTACAGGGACTCGAAGTCTCTCCTCCTCCACACCATTCCCTGTGTGGCCAGGGAAGCATCTTCTGTCTGAGACTTTATCTTTGAGACAACTTTGATGGAGTCTACACTTCTTAGCATGACATTCCAGCCTGACGGAGATGGTGATCCAGTTGGTCCCGCCCTACCCACCTCATCTGCTTTCACCCACCAAATCCTCCGGGCGTTTTAACACCTCTTGCCTTTGTTCCTGGTCCCTGTCTGGACCAGCTTTCATCCCTCGCTGTCCTCCCTGGCCCTTCCCAGCCCCCTTGTGCTCCCCAGCAGGTTGCACACACCTTCCATGGTCAAGGCACACGAGTCAAGGCACAACCCTTGAAGGTTCATACAGAGTCCTTTCTGTGCGTGTGTGTACACGTAAGCTTGTCGTGTAGGCTTGCTGTAGAGGAAGAAATGAGGGGTCCGAGAGCAGCCTCGGAAGATGGACTCCAGTACCTGATGCTGAGTTGGCTTGAGCCTAGGGTGGAGCCCAAACACAGGAGAAGTCAGACTGATGGTGGGCCAAGCGCCCAGCACCCGCCACAGCAGTGGGGTGGAGGGAAGGGGGACACCGAGGGATGCCTGTGTCGATGGACGTTGGAGCAGGGGGAGGGTGTCGTGGACCCGGCGAGCAGGGCTGAGCGGAGGTTGGTGTCCAGGTGGCGGCAGATCCCCCAGTGCTAAGAGACTAAGCCGTTCTCACTTCTTCCCTGGCTGCGAAAAGGATGCTCCATCTCAGAATGGGTCCCAGGGGCAACAGAGGGACACAGGAATTAAAATCAGGTGTGGGTAGCTGCTTTGGGTCCAGGAGTCCTGCTGTCTGGATGCGACCCTCTGTCACTGGGAGATAGCCGTCCCCTGTTTGCCCATAGGGTGCTCTTCAGCAGAGTGACAAGAGTCGTGTCCCCCTACCAACCACCCCCACGGCCTCCATTTCTTCCCCTTGAGCACAAGATACCACTTCGCCCTGGTTTTAGATGACGTAAGAGGCATCCGTTGGCCGAAGCTGAGGTGACAAAAGCCAGGACCCGTAGGGACCTGTGGACAGCGGTCCATGGTGAGAGAGTGTATGCGTATGAGTAGGAGTGCGTGTGGGTGTGCATACGTGTGTATGTGTGAGTACGTGTGAGAGTGTGTGTGAGTGATCCCTCTGTCGCTGCCTGCTGGCTCCCTCCCTTAGAGTCACTTCTTTCACGTCATCCTGTGACATCCTCGCAGCCATAAGCTGATGGTCCCTGCAGAGTAGGGTTGAGTCCCAGCTGCTGTCCCAACTTCCTCACCCTGTCCCAGCCACCTCCCTGCCCCTCTGCGCCTGTTCTGAGTTTGAGTGCCAAGGCCCCCGGGCAAAGACATGTTGTGCAGTGCGAGTGTGGGGCACAGGCAGGCCTCCTGCTGGGTTCTGGGGCATGTTCAGCTGGCCAAGAGGCCACACCGCCCCTAAGGCACCCATGCCTTGTGAGTCAGAAGGCTCTCCTGGAATCATCCAGGAACCCCTCCACTGTCTCCATCATAGCCTTTCCTGCCCCAGTCAGGAGACGTGCACATCTATAGCAGGCCAACAAGGCATTTTGATGAGGATCGTATCGAGTGAACCTCATTGGGCTTCCTTCTAGGTGGAAATAAGAGCATTCTGATTCAGGTCCAAGAACATTGGTGGCCCTGAGGCCGGGCAGGTGGTCTGGCTGCCCCAGGAGCCACCCTAGGAAAGCTTTTGGCCCTGTTCCTGTGACCCTAGGGGATCGCTGGAATCTGGGTCCTGAGAGCTTTCCAGCTCATCTGGAGATAGGGTCGTGCAGAGAGCGCGGGGCTCCTGGTTTCTCACTCTGAGAACAGGGAAATGATGGCCGTCCCTCATACCTCCCCTCACACCAGTGTCCAGGTGGCTTCCTCGCAGACTGTTGCCCGTTGTGAGAGGCGGATAGGCTTTGGGGCAGATTCAGATCCTCCTTCCATACCTTTCTGGCTGTGAGAGCTTGAGCCTCGAGCTCTGAAGGGCTCTTGCTCGTGACTGTGATTCAATTTGTGTAAAGTGCCCAGCACAGCGTGAGCACTTGGCAAATGGTAGCCGCTAGAGCTGTGGTCGTCACCTTCTCTCACTCTTGTCGTTCCTCTGGTGGCCCAGAGTGGCTGTCCCTTGTGGGCTGGTGTGGAGGCTGGCTCTGGAGCGGAGGCCCTCTGCCAACCGGTGGCTTCACTTCCCGGCAGGAAGCACAGGGTCTGCTGCCTCTAGAGAGAAAAGAGGGGGCAGCCCTACCTGTCGGAGGGCAGGGCAGGTGCAGGGGTCCATGGTGGATCCCCAGGGCGACCACCCCCACCCCCACCCCGAGGTTCTCTCTCGTTCCGCGTCCTCCTCTCCCGGTATCCGTAACGGGCTGGATGCGGCTAGCAAGCGTGTGCATCTTCTGAGGTGGGAACCTGCCTCTTCTCCTCTTTTTTTTTTCCTTTACCATGACGCCTGTTGCTCATAGGTACAAATCAAACGAAGAGTATGTATATGTGCGAGGCCGCGGCCGAGGGAAATATGTTTGTGAGGAGTGTGGAATTCGCTGCAAGAAGCCCAGCATGCTGAAGAAACACATCCGCACCCACACTGACGTCCGGCCCTATGTGTGCAAGCACTGTCACTTTGCTTTTAAAACCAAAGGTAAGAGACAGTCAGCTGGGGCACTGCCCCTTCCCGCTGTAGGGAGCTCCCCTCTGGGAGCCCTAGCACAGAGCTCAGGGGTCCAGACCTCTCCGCCTGGGGCCTGGGGCACCCCCCTTCCCCGGGCTCCCAGGTGGCCGAGCAGCCGGCTCCAGACCGGGCAGTGGCGCCCCCTGGCTGCCGCAGCCTGTCCTCTTGGATCCCACACCGTCCTCCACCTGCGCGCTCCCCACCCCCGCCGCCTGATGGCGCTCTTGCACACGGTTCCTGGTTTTGATTTTATCTCCTCACCCCGTCCTTCTGCATGTCTCCTTAGCCCTTTGTCCACTGAGCTGGTGAGCTCCAGCAGTTGCACTCGTCACCACCACTCTTGCGTTTGGAAATCCATTCCACTCCGAGCCACTAAGCACACTCGCATGGTCACTTCTCATGGCAGCGCTCGCCCCTGCCTCCACCCTCCTCACCACTCAGACCATGTTCCTGCCCGCCCGGCTCCTGCGCCGCTCTCCCCGCAACCGCCCCGGCTGGCAGGCCTTGCATTCCGGCCCCAGCCGCACCCCGAAGCAGGGTCAGCACAGGCCCTGGCCGTCATCTGAGAAAGGAAGAAGGACGGGCCACGGAGGGCACGCGTCCCACAGAGCTGTGCTAGGAGCTGGCGGTGGCCTGGCCGGCGGCAGCTGCCCGGCCCTTCGTGTGAGCAAGTGGGGCCGAGTCCGTGAGACTTGGATCAAGCCCCTCCCCCCACTCATGGCGTTGACTGTCCCCGCAGGCCAGGCAGGGAAGACAGTGCGGCTCGCCCGTTGCTTCCTGGTAGAGGAGCAGAGGGACAGAGGTGAAGCAGAGAAAGGCCTGGGGCTCTCGGACACCCCCCCTCCCCGGTGGCTTCAGCCTCTTGTGCGCTGCAGATTCTTGGGGCAGGGGCATGAGGGCCCTGGCTTCTCCTTTGAGCAAGTGGGGGGCCTCCAGGCTGGCCCCCACTGGAGCCTTGTGGTGTTTCTGCAGGAAGAACTGGAGAACGGATTCAATTTTGCCACTCGTTGACCTTTCTTCTGTTGGTGAAGCTGTGCCCAGTGAGAGAGGTTGGGCCGCAGCTTTGAGGGGGCCCGGGCGGAGGTGGCCAGCCTTCCTCACTTCCTCCTCCTCTTGCTGGCCCCTTCCGTTCTCTCTGTACTGGGTCAGGGGCCAGCTCACCACATCCCCTGGCTCATGGCCCTTCTCTGACCCAGTTCCACCTCTGGTCTCCTAACCCCGTTCACCGACCCCTGCCCTCCTCTGCCTTCTGGCATTCTCAGCAGACCTCAAACTTTCCCACTTAGGCTTTGGTTGGAATGGAGGTGCCGTCCCTCCTGCTCTCTTTCTCTGGTCTTCTTCTCTCTTGGCGTCCCATAAACAGTGTTCCAAGAGGTCCCCAGGGAAGGCAGATAGGCCTGGAGCCCGGCCCCCTGCCTCGTGCATGCTTCCAGTCCCAGAGCCCTGCCATGTCCAAGACAGCACAGCCCCGCCTGCCTCTGCCCTGGGTGCGGGCTCTGTCCCCATGTGTCCTCTACAGCCCCACCCACCCCTGGCCTTAGGCAGCCAGTGGACCTTCATGGAGAAGAGAGATGGGAATCATTGACAGTCTAAGTAACAGAGTAAAAAAACCTCTTGTCCAAAACCCCCTTGAAGGGAAAGGAAGTGAATCCCCCCCCCCAAAACCAAGTGATCATTAATGCTAGAGCTGTAACTAGAACCCAGGACCCCTGTCTCAGGGCATCGCCCCCATCACCTTCCTCTCTTGAGCAGATCCCCCCCTTTCCTAGAAGGAGTGGCAAAATCAGGTGGCTGATCAAGTGGCCTCTGGAGTGGGGTGCGTCCAGGGGACCACACTGTTCTGTTCTCATTGTGAGGAACCCAGTCTTGAGGGTGCATCCCAGCCCAGGGCCATTTGGGTTCCCTGTGCCCAGCACACAGAGAACCATCTCGGAGAGCCTTCACCTTGACACATGAGACTAGAAAAACGCATCCGGCTAAGTTCTCCGCCAGGGCAGTGTCTCCAAAGAGGGGTCCCTATTCAGGTCCCCCTGCCTTTTTGGAGAGGAAAGGCCTGGTCTGTTTTTGTCAGGTCTGAGAGAGGCCGGGTCCCCGGCAGGAACACTTCTTTTCCAGCAGTTCTTTTCATTGGAGGCCATGCCAAGCCTACCGGCAGTCCCCGCCCTGGAGGGTCCAGAGGGTATAAGCTGAACAGAGGGGTGCAGATACCACATATGCCTTGGGGCGTGGAGTCCTGGGTGTGAAGGCTTGCCCAGGCCACCCCGAAGGCCAGGCCCAGGAGGCTCTGTTCCCAACCAGTGATCAGCGAGGGTTCTGAGCTCTCTTCAAATGCTCGTAGAGGCTTCCGGAAGACAATACCTTCAGAGCCGAAGCAGTAAGCGAATCTGAAATGGTAGAATCTCAAACTCCGTGACTTCTGAGAGGGACTGGTGGCGGGTGGGTGATGGCAAGTTGCAGCAGAGAAAGCTTGCCGTTGGCCCTCACTGCGTGCCGGGAGTGAGGGAAAGGCAGCACACTGAGCCTTCTGTTCCTCCGGGGCCGTGTGTCTTCCGGGAGGCGTGGGCCTTCCCCATCACTCGGAAACCTCAGGAGCCTCCTCTTAGGCTCTCGGCTTCCTTCAGGCTGCCATCCCCTCCCTCCCCTCACCCTTGGGCTCTGGCTGGGCCTGATGGTCTTCAGGACCCTCCACCACCACCACCTGGCTGCGCCCAGGCCCGGAGAGCCCTTCCTGTCCGTCTCTGTCTGCCTGTCTGTGTCTCCGTCTCCGTGTTGGACATTGTGGTGGCAGCTCGGGCCTCTGGGCGCTAGCTGAGGCGTCTCAGTGGGTAGTGCCGGGAAAGGCTGCCGGGATGTCCCTGTGGAGGTCCGGGGGTCCCCTTTCCTCTTCTTAGAGGGTTCCCAGATGCCAGCAGGGTGACTGTGCCGTGTACAGGCCCTTGCGCCGGTCGCCGCAGGAGATGGAGATGACAGCTGTGGGCAGGCCTCAGTCTGTCAGGCCTGCAGGGACGGAAGGAGGGCGGTTGGTCAAAGCTGAATGACGCAGAGTCATTGGACGATGCTCTCAGTGGAAGTTCCACCTCTCTTCCAGCCACTCATCATGTTCATCCACTTGCCTTTCCTCCTTCATTCCAGGACTGTGGGGCTTCCGGTGAGGGGTGGGACAGCTGGTGTGGAGCTGGGGACTCTGCCTGGCCAGCCAGGGCTCTGCCCCTTGACAGAGAAATGGTGTCCAAGCCAAAGAAGATGTCTGCTGCCATTGGGTATACCTCCCTCAGTTCACAGAAGAGGTCCGGGGAGGGGAGGGCAGGGAGAGCACCGGGTAACACTCGGGGCTGCTCTCCTATAACCCACATGGCCTGTCCTGGCAGAGCCCCCTCAGACTCCGTGACTCCTCCCTGCGGCCTCCAGCGGCCACTGGCACCTTCTCCTGGGAGCCCCTGAGCCCAGACTGGAGGATAAAGCCATTTGCATCTTCATTTCAGCATCTCTGTCCTCCACACCCAGCATGGCGCGTGGCAGAGTCCCTGGTGCTCAATAAAGAGTGATTGTCATGGGGGTGGGGGGCACACAGTATGGGAGGGAAGGCGGTTCCACGTGGTGAACGTCTGCTCTCTGCCGGGCACACCCTGCTACCACTCTACATGCACTCTCTCATCAGCTCCTCCCGGCATCCCCGAGAGGTAGGTATTACTTGAGAGTTGCAGGAAGTGGGGGCTCAGAATGTTCGGAAACTTGCCCAAGAGCGCACAGCTAGCAAGTGGCAGAGCCCAAGCTCAGACCCAAGATCGGCAAGCGTCTAGACCAACCTGGGTTGATTGTGCCAGCGTGCAGCAAGCAAGACCCCTGGAGTCCTGAAACCTGGTTCTAGACAGGGCTCTGTGCTAACAAGGTGCCTCGGCTGGCTGGTTCGCTGTGTTGGCCAATGGGAGCCCTCCCATGACATCCCAGCAGCTGAGACCGTCAGTAATCTTCTCTGACGGCATCACCAGCCCCGAGGCCCAGAGTTAGAGCGGAAGCATCAGAACCCTGGGCCTGATGGGGGTTGGGTTACACGGTCTGCAAAGTTCCTTCCAACACCTTGCTTCTGAGATGAGGAGAGCACTTCCCACGCGCGGTTATTGTGCACCCGTTGTGTGCTCGGCACCTAACTTGGTCAAAAAGAGACCTAAACCTTCCTGGCAGAACACATACAATAATATCATAGCCGTAATGAGCAGTGTTCGTAGTCCTCTGTGGTCTGGGGTATCAGGGGACAGTGGGCTGGTTCAGAACCTCAGGGGACCATTGGTATCTCTGGCCCATGGAAGACCCCAGCTGCCTTTGCCACCCCTTGACATCCTACTCAAGCTTGGCTTGCTCATGACAGTGAAGACAGGAACCCCCTATATTAGATCTCCCTATATTAGAACCCCCTATATTAGGTCTCCCTTTGGAGCCCCTCTGCTCCCAGAATGTCTCTGGAAGTTATGACTCTGCTTCCCCTTTGGCCAGGAGTAGAAGATACAGGTTTTTGTCTGGTTATAGGAGGAAAATCTGAGTTGGGAAGGATACAACCACAGACTAGGAGTAAAGGGAAGAGAGAGGCAAGACACAAGTGCCCTTCCATCCCTGCTGCCCTTGACTTCAAGGGACCCCAGGTTAAGGTTCCCATCATCCCCTCAGCAAAAGCCTACACGTTCCTTAAAATTCTCAGAATGGTTATGAAGCGCCCTTTGGTTCACCCATGGGCTCTCTCCTCTTCGCCTGCCCACCTATCCATCTGTCCTCCCATCTACCCGTTTCTCCCATCTCCTACTTTGTCTTCCTGTCCATGTATCTTCCCATTTCTTTTCTCCTCCTGACTGTCCCTCCCTTTCTCACATCTGTCCTCCCGCCAATCCAACCTTCCGTCCACCTTCCCCGCATTTTCTCCTCCTGCCTGTCCCTCCTGCATGTTTATGTGCATGGAGCCATTCACCCATGCAACCCAACTAGCCACTCCCCCATCCACCAGGCCCCTCTCTTCCTCTCCAGTTCTCCAGCTTCCCATCTGTTTATTAACCCATTTTCCAACTCTCCTTCCATTTCGTTGTTTCATCTAACCACTGATTCCCCATCTGTCTATCCATCTGCTTATCTAATCATCCAGTGTCCTATCCATCTGTCCTTATTCTTTCGCCCCGTATTTCCTCTTACCCACTTACCCGTCTGTCCATCCACCCATCCATCCATCCATCCATCCATCCGTTCACTCACCAGTCTCTCTATGCACCTGCTCAAGTATCCATTCTTCTCTCTTTCATCCATCTATTCAAACTTGCCGATTCATCAGCTTAGTGCGATAGACCACCTAACTCGGGGAACATATGGTTATTCTATGAGTGATCATGTAGAAGTGTAGCAGTCTGCAGGGCAACAGTGAGAACATCACAATTCGGAGGTGGCTGCCGGGCCCAGAGGAGCATCCTGGGGCCTCTGGCCTGCATGCTCCTAGGGAAGGCTGGGGTGCTCTGCCTCTCCTTTACAGAGTGCCCCTGCCCACAGAGGCTAGTGGCCTGTGAAGTGCTGTGCACACACGGGAGAGAACTGAAGGCGTTGCTGCCTTTCCCCTGATTCCACAGAACTGCTGCTCCTGCTTATCAGCTGTGGGGCTGGACTGACCGTGTAGGGCAGAGTCAGGGCTGGAGTGGGCAGAGCCTTTGCCCAGCCTTCCCTGCCTATACCCTGTGTCTGCGCTGCACAGTGACCTGGGGGAAACTGAGGCCCAGACATGGTTTCTCTAAGGAAGTCAGGGCCTGGGCCCTAGCTCTGTGGCTTACGGGTCTCTGTCCAGCAGACTTCTGTATACCTTTTGCCCTTTCTCTGTTTCTAAGAGAAACAGAAACTTTGTCCTGGTTCCTCTTCCCACACCCTGTGGGCTGCCTAGACGTGGCCTCAGTTGGGAGGGCGTCCTACCTACCACGTCGGTTAACAGGAGCCCTCCGGTCATCCAGCATCTGAGAAGGCCAAATGTCCTGCTCTGTGAGTGTCACTAGCTCCTGGGCCCAGAGTTAAAGCCAAAACTGGAAAAACCTCTCACACATGAGTTGTCTTTTAATTTCTTTTTCGTTTGTTTTTTAATCAGCATCTCACTTCCTCATTATACCCTCTGTCCCCACACAGCCCCCGTGCCCACCCTCCCCCAGCTCCCGTGTGCTGTCCCGAATGGCGGCCGTGGTGCACATCCCAGCGCCTGAGCACCCGGGCGGAGAGGGATGGCCCGGCCCCCACCTGGCCCCTGCGGCCAGCAGGGCCCTGACTGCCTCTGCGAGCCCCGGGCCTGCCCTGGCCCCCTGCCCTGCGGCCAAGCCTGAGTCTGTTCTCATTTCTTTCCAGGGAATCTGACTAAGCACATGAAGTCAAAGGCCCACAGCAAAAAGTGCCAAGAGACAGGGGTGCTGGAGGAGCTGGAAGCCGAAGAAGGTAACGGACTGCCAACTTCCTCCTCCCCACTCTTCCTCTGCCTGCTTTTCCACCTGTCCTCCTCGCCCTCCCCTTCCCTTCCGTCCTCCTGTCCCGGCTCCTTCCTCTCCCTCTTCCTTGTCCTGCCCTCCGGTTTTCCCACCTACTGGGAGATAAAGGTTAAATTCACAGACCAATGGCCCCTACTCTCCTACACTTGCAGCTCATGCTGTGCAGCCATAGCTAGTGTGAATTAGAGTCTACCTGGGAGGGCGGGGGGGGCGGGGGGGGGCGTGCCTGGCAGGTGGCTCACAGGTGTGCAATGAATGTGTCCTGAACAAACTAACACGTGAGTACTGGTAGTCAACATTGACCGAGCACCCACTATGCATCAGGCGTATTCTAAACACACGCCGTGAATTATCCCGTAAACCCTCACGGTGACGCTGTGAGGTGAAGAGTGTATTCTTCTACACTCCGAACCCGCATTCTCACCTACACGCTCTGGGCATGGGCCTGACAGCTGGGCCTTTTAGAGCTTGAGGAGCAGGAGAGCCAAAGCGAAACCTGACAGCCCCTTGTCACCTCCCAACGTCATCCCACATCCCAGCACTCCACCCTGACCAAAGTCCTCCACCAGCAAAAGGCATAGGAGAGCCCGTGTCTGAAAAGACCCAGCAGAGAGAAGTTGAGTCAAAGGCCCTGGCCCAGCCACAGCATCCAGGGAGGAGGCCAAAGGGACTTTGGCAGGTGGACAGGCAGTCCTGCCTGCAAAGGGAGGTCAGGGAAACCAGAGGCGTTCCTCCTGTACCCAGCAACCCTTTGACCAGGCTCCCTAAAATCAGAATCAGGACATGAGTGTCACAAAGAGGAGTGCGTACGTGTGTGTGTGTGTGTGCGTGTGTGTGTGTGTGTTTCTGATTTCAGGATGTGTTTACAGTCTTACAAGAGAGTCAAAGCACATTTCCTTTCATTTATTTTTTTTAATTTTTAAAGTTTATTTATCTTAAGAGAGAGAGCATGAGCAGGGGAGGGGCAGAGAGAGAGGGAGAGAGAGGATCCCAAGCAGGCTCCATGCTGTCGGCACAAAGCCAGACACAGGGCTCAGACTCACAAACTGTGAGATCGTGACCTGAGCTGAAACCAAGAGTTGGATGCTTAGCCAGCTGAGCCACCCAGGTGCCCCAAGTACGTTTCCTTTTAGGTGGAATAAGTCACTTTTACTGAACTAAACACAATGAATGTGGGACCGTTCCGCCCAAAATGAGAATGTAGGGTTACCATGTTTATCAAGAATGTACATCAGGCCATTTACACATGTTGTCTCACTGCATCCTTATAACTAACTAGTGGGAGAAACCCGTGTTGCCCCAGTGTAAAATGAGGAAAGTAAAGCTCAGACAGGTAAAGGCAGTTGTTGAAGGTCATACAAAAATGCCGGCTCCACACCACCCCGATGCCTGGTGGGCTGGACTTGGTGGCCTGAGCCTGAGCCTTGAGCCCAGAACCCTCCCCAGGTGAGAGTCAAACAATTGCACCTGGCCCCACACCAGGGGTCCACTGAGGCACCCAGGCAGGGCTGTTCCCCTCTCCCAACCTCATTTTTCCAATGAGGCACAAAAAAAAAAAAAAAAAAAAAAAAAAAAAAAAAAAAGACAACCCTAACAACCCTACCCACCTAGTTTGAGGATGAAATCAATGCATTTATTCTAGAAATAACTACTGAACACCAGCCCTATTCCAGGCAATGGAGATGCCACAGTGAATAAAACCTAGTTCCTGGCCTCTGGAAGCCCACATTCTCAAAGGGAGGAGGGCAATGAACAAATGTGGAATAGGACAGGAGCACTGAGTAGGAAGTAAAATGTAAACGAGTGAGGGGCTGGGAAGTGTAGGGAGGGATCTCTCTGTTAGGATGGTGTGAGCAGAGGACATGAGGGAGGGGTCAGGAAGGCAGGTGGAGTCTAGGGAAGGGCTCTCCCCTTAGGGCCCTGGAGGAGCAAAAAATGCAGAGCCCCTAAAGGATCAGAAGGGCGGGGAGATGGACTCAGAGCAGGGACCACAAATGTCAAAGGATGGACTTGGCAATGCAATGGAGTGACGTCCCCCAACTTGCAGTGACTCTGTGTGCACAGGACTGTCAAGAAGGGGTGCGGCTGTAGGCAGTGATCAGGCTGAGCTCACGTCGGCTTGGACTGGGTGGGGTGGGGAGAAGTGGTAGGATTCTGGAAACATTCCTCTGGTAGAGCCTCCAGGTTTTGCCACCACAAGGGGGCGCTGGTGGTGCCATGAGAATAAAGGAGCCGAAGCCGAGTCCGAGGTTTATGGCCTAAGAAACTGGAAGGATGGAGTTGCTACTTCCCGCGATGATGAGGATGCAGGGAGGAGCATGTCTGTTAGACACCAAGTGGCTTTGGGGTGCACAGTCTAGGAACGATTGCCTCCCGGTGGCCGGGCCCACGCTGCAGCCTGACAGTGAGGAAGTTAGACACCAGCGCCACCGTGTGGCCAGACCCCCTCGGCGCCCTCGAAGGCTTCATTCGGTCTTTTCCGCAGTCCCCAGGCCAGCTCGGGGCTTTGTGGAACCTTGGTGGTGATCCCGGCAGCGGCCTGGCGGCTCCATGAGGGGCGCTGGGAATGGGCCGCCTGGGCAGGAGCATCCTGTACCCTTGCAGGAGCCCAGACATGGGGGGCCTGAAGAACCCTGTTCTGGGCAGGGGACCTTTGGCTCCCGTCATTTCTACCCTGGGTGCTTAGGGCAGCCTGAAGGAGCTGTTTAGGAGCCCTCCTAAACACTGCCTGTCTGCCAGGGTACTGGGGTACTTGAGCTATTTGCTAAGTTGTATTGCATACTTCCGATGTGTCAGACCCTCATGAGCCCCCCACCAGCTTCATGGGGAGGCTGTTGTTGCTCTTACCCCCACTTTACACATCAGGAAACTGAACATAAGAGAGAGAGAGCCAATTATACAACATCATACAGCAAGGAAGGGTAGAGCTGGGATCCAAACCCAGACCATTTCCTGCTTCTCGATGCATAACATCACTCTTATACTGGCAGTGTAATAACGCAGGGGTTGTAAATCTTAGTCCTGACTCAGCCACTACTCCCTGGGTGATCTTGGGGAGGAAGCACTTGCCCCTCTGGGCCTGGATTTCCCCGTATGTAAATGAGGGGTGGGGCTAGGTGAACTTCTGGGTCTGAAATAGGCCTCGCTAAAGTCTTAGGTGGTTCCCACCCTCCTCCCCCATCCACATTCCTACGACCTTCCCCTCTGCTCCCAGCCGCCAGGAGATCCTGCCCTGGGTCCCTTGGCCCGCCCTTCACCTGCCAACCCCAGGTCCACCCCATAGTTTCTGACCCTCTGTCATCTATTTCACGCATCTTACTGCTGCATGCTGAGCTGTTTGGAAGCACGGATGCTAGGATTCCCAGCCCCAGGGCAGCTGGGCATGGTGGAGTTTGAAAGCCTGGTTGCATCGGTGGCCAGAGTCAGCTTGTGGGTCCAGCTCTCTCAGTCAGTGGGGGGAGAACAGGGGCTGGTGTGTCCCAAGAGCAGCGGTGGGGCTGGCGATGTGCCTGGAGATGGGCCAGCAGGACCCAAACCCTCAGGAGCCTGACAGGTGGGCCAGACGTTAGCAGAGCTCTCCCCAGAGTCTGCTGCCCATATCAGAGAGGCCTCAACCAGACAGGTGTCATGTTAAAGGTGACCCGGATGGGTGGGCCGCCCCCACCGGAAACCAGACCGGGAGACTAGTATTTCAGGGCTCCGCTGCCTCCTGCCTGAGAGCAGCGTCAGTTCTGCCAAGTGCAGCAGGTCCTCTGGACGAGAGCGGCTGGGATGGGGCCCTGCTCTGCAGGCGTAGGCCAGCGTAGCCAACACCCCCTCCCGCCCCCCGAGGCCAGCACCTGTCACCTGCCAGATGCTGTTGTACCGCCAGCGGCAGCCCGGCCACGGTGGCAGGTGTGTGTGTGCCGACGGACCATGGCCAGTGCTCCCGGACCGGCCCGATGGCTGCCGTGTCCCAGAATAACAGATTTCTTCAGGAATGCGTTGAGCGACCGTAATTATGGGAACCACGTCTCGGTGCCAGGCGTGTGTTTGTTCCTCGTAGCGAACCCCGCGAGGTGAGACTGCCACATTCGTTTGACAAGGCGGGAGACAGAAGCACAGCAAGGTGACTTATGTTGCTCATGGGGGAACCCGCACTGAAACCCTCGTGAGAAAAGCAAACCGACAAAAAGGCTTGCCTTTGTTTGCTCTGGTTCAATCCCAGCCCTTCCACTTCTCTCACCTGAACAGGTTACTTAACCTTGCTTACCTTGGGTCCCTCATTTGTAACATGAAGATAAAAACAGGGCAGACCTCCCGGGATCATTTGAGGACTAGATGCATTAACACCCAGGAAGGCTCTAGAACTGAGCCTGGCCCGTGGTAGACACAAGGCAGCTTTTGTTCACCGTGATAGTGTGCAAAGCGTTCCCATCTCTGTCATGGCCCCTGTCCTGTCAACAGTCTTGTGCCACTGACACAGCCCTTAGGCCCCGTGCGCAGACAAGGACGTGGGCATCGAGGACGGCAGCGTAGGGCTGGCTGTGACCCCAGGGTCTCCTGTGTCCCCCCCTCAGGAACCAGTGATGACCCGTTCCAGGACTCAGAAGGGCGAGAGGGCTCAGAGGCCGTGGCGGAGCACCAGTTTTCAGACCTGGAGGACTCAGACTCGGACTCGGACCTGGACGAAGACGAGGATGAGGACGAAGAGGAGAGCCAGGACGAGCCATCGGGACCGGCCTCGGAGGCACCCCCGCCTGGCCCGCCAGCCACACTGCCGGCAGACTCCTCACCCGTCCCGGGCCCTCAGCCCCCAGATGCCACCTCTGGCGACCAGGCCACGCGGGGCAGCTCGGTCTTGGAAGCTGAGCGCTCGGCAGCTGGAAGTTGTTCCACGTCCAGCCAAAGCATCCCGTGCCTCCCCCGGCTGGGACCGGCCCCTCCGGGCCCCGTGGAGAAGGACACAGGCTCGGCCCTGAGCTCCAAGGCTGTGTCCCCAAGAAGGCCGTGGTCCCCAAGCAAAGAAGCAGGCAGCCGCCCAGCACTCACCCACAAACACTCACTAACCAAAAGCGACTCGTCTCCCCAGCTACACCCACCGGCCGGAGAGCCACAGGCCTCAGCCCCGAGCCCGCCGGGCCCCCAGCCAGGCCCTCTCCCTTGTGGGTCTCCAAGACTCGAGCTGTCTCCTCTCACCCTCCGCCCCCTGGGAAGGGAACTGCCCCCTCGAGTGCATCCACCCCCCGAGCGCAAGGGGGCCCCAGATCCGGGCCCCCCCAGACATTCACCCACCAGGAGACGGTCCCCGGGCCAGGCCGAGTCACCGCCACGGTCAGCGCTGCCAGGGAAGTGGGCCTTGGCTGGGCCGGGCAGCCCCTCAGCGGGCGAACGCGGCCCAGGCTCGGGGCTGGCCCCGCGGGCTCCCTACCCGCCCCTGCCTCTACCTCACAAGCTTCTTGGCAGAAGCCCCGAGACCTGCGCCTCCACGTGGGTGAGTTCCTGCCCCCGAGCGGCTGGGCCGCTCGTCCCCGACGGGTGGGGGGCCACGGCGCACTCCTCCCTGAGGCATCAGACCCGTAGCTACACAGCCCTGCCAGCTTGGTGATCGCTAATGACATAGCAAACGTTTATGGGCCACCTTCTGTGCCAGCCCCCACCCTGGGGCTCCCGAAGGTGGCCGGGGCAGCCTCGGGAGCAGCAGAACGCGGGCGCCGGGGCTGGCCCTGGAAGCAGGCGTAAACACTTTGCCCTTCCCCTCCCATCTCCCCAGCCCCACGTCTCCAACATCACTGTCACCAGCACCCTCAGAGACACCACAGCCGACACCGTCCCTGCCACGCCGTCAGCACCGTCACCGTGGCCGTCCCCAGGGCCATCGCTGCCATCACCACACTCACACGCTCTCGCCACCACCGGTGTCGCCACAGCATCACTGTCCACTTCCCTTGACCTTCCAATGCCTTTTCTGTCACCGCGTTGTCACGAACCATTCACTCCCAGCAGCATCCACGCCATCACTCAGAGACTCGAGTTCCCGCAGGAGCGCAGGCTAGGAATCTCTCCTTGGTTTTCGGTTTGGGGGTCACGTTACGATGCCCGATGGTGGGAGAAGATAAAGAGCACGGAGTGGGAGCTCATGTCCAAGGGTAGAGTTGGCTCAGGACCGTTCTGGGAACAGGAGAGGCAGCAGAACCGAGAGAGAGGGCCAGGCGCGCGGCAGGCGGGCATGCTGGCCAGAGGCACGAAGACCGTGGGGCCCGATGTGCTCACGGTCACTGCGGGGCTGGGGACGGCCGCCGCCAGCACAGGGCAGCTCCACGGGCAGGGAGTCGGCACTCAGCTCCCCCCAGCTCCGCTGGGACTTGCTGTGTGATTATCAGGCGAGCCCCCTCCTCCTCTTTTAGGCCTCGGGGGTCTCCATGTGCCAGCACGTAGCCCTTGCCTTACCCTGTCTTGTTTTCTGACCCCAGCAGAAGGCCGCGTCCCGGAGTCCCTCCTGCTCACCTGGCCCTGCTCATCCTCCCTCCTCCCGACCCTTCTCGGCCCCCCATGACTTCCACGGCCACACCCCAGCCCGGACAGAGGAGAACATCTTCAGCCACCTCCCTCTGCACTCCCAGCACTTGACCCGTGCCCCGTGCCCCCTGATTCCCATTGGCGGGATCCAGATGGTGCAGGCCCGGCCGGGGGCCCACCCCACCCTGCTGCCGGGGCCCACGGCCACCTGGGTCAGCGGCTTCTCGGGAGGTGGCAGCGACCTGACAGGGGCCCGGGAGGCCCAGGAGCGAGGCCGCTGGAGTCCCACCGAGAGCTCGTCAGCCTCCGTGTCCCCTGTGGCTAAGGTATCCAAGTTCACACTCTCATCGGAGCTGGAGGGCAGGGACTACCCCAAGGAGAGGGAGAGGACGAGTGGGGGCCTGGGCAGACCTCCTGACTGGGAGCCCCGAGTGGCTGAGGTGCCCGCAGAGCCCGTACCCACCCACAGCCCCCGCACCCCGCCCGAGGCCTCACCCCGGCTGTCCCACGGCCGCAGGCCAGAATCCTGGAGCCCCCGCCTGGAGTCACCACGCACGCCGGCCAACCCCGCGGCCTCTGCCGCCTCGCCCCTGGACCGCAGCAGTTCGGTAGGCTGCCTGGCAGAGGCCTCCGCTCACTTCCCAGCCCGGAGGAGGAACCTCTCTGGGGAACCCAGGACCAGTCAGGGCTCCCCCGAGCCCTCAGGAAGTGGGGGGCCTGGGGCACCTCCACATCAGCCCAAGGACAGGGGCCCCCCAAGCACTTAGTCTCTCTCCGACTGCTTCAGCATCTGGCTTCCGGTGTTCAGCAACAGACGCTTCCAGCCAGCTTCCTCGAATCATCTCGCTCTCATGGGCTCCCTTTCCCATCTGTCCATCTGTCCAAGCAGCTTCTCCTCAGTCCCCAACTGTTCTATCTTCCCACGTATGCAGTTACCTGTGCCTTTTTCTATACCTTTGCTTGAAAAGAAACAAAACACACGCACACATAAAAGAAAAAAAAAAAAAAACCCACGAGGAGTCTGAGGCTGTGAATATGTTGTGCTTTTTTGAGAAAGGGTGTAGGTGGGGCCTCACCCTGGGCCACTGCGGTCTGCAGTCACCACCAGCCCTCCCCCCAGGCTGGCGAAAGGTAGCCATTTGCTGAGGGAAAGGGGGATGCACTGAAAGAGGAAAAAGAAAAAAGCGAGAAACTTTTACAAACATATAATTAAATGTAAAAGCAAGCACTCCTATGTACAGATGTTTATGGTTCCTATTTATTGCCGCTTTATTCCACCCCAGCTAGTGACCACTCTCACTGCCAGCAGAAGGGCCAGCAGCCCAAGGCAGAGGGACACAGGCAGGGGGACCCCACTCAGCCTCCACAGGCAGGCCCAGAAAACTCCAGCTTTCTTTTTCCCAGGAAAAAGAAAAATGTTAACCTTTCCTAGGATTTCATCACAAGTGATAGGAGCAGATGGGAGGTGGGAGCTTGTTGGTTCCCTCCGGCCTCCCTGATATCCTGGTGGTCTGAGTCATGGACCCATCCTGGCATCCTGACAAATCCCCCCAGCGCCCCACCTGCCACCTCTCCCCTCTACCCCCTCCCCCCAGCCCCTAGGCGGCAAAAGGAGGCCTGACTGTTCATCTCTTGGGTCCTGAACACCTGACTGAGGCCTTGCTTCAGGGACCCAGCTGCAGACTGCCTCCCTTATTCTAGAAACTACCCACGAGGCTGAAGTGACAGGGCCCAACCCTTAGGGGTCAAGATCCAAGGTGCATTGCCTTGCCATTCCTGAGGCTGGGACTTGGGTTTCATTTCATGTTTGGTCCCTGAGGTTCAAAGGGCCCTTGTTTCCTCCATGGCTGGGCTTTTCCAGTGCTCAGCACTGGAACTTTACCGGGACCTGTTTCTAGACCTCTTTTCAGTAGAACTGGATCCCGCCCCTGCCCCCATCTCCACCTCACCCAGTGTAAGGCCTCCACTATTCCCAGGAAGTACCTAAAACCATGACTGGTAGGAACTGCCCAGAGCTGTTTTTAAATCTCTTTTAAAAAATCACACACACACACACACACACACACACACACACACAAAGACAGGATGGTGTTTGGTACTTCTCCTAGCCTCCTCAGATTCTCTTGCCCTAAAAGTGTCCTAAGCCCGTTGAATTCGTCTCCAATCAACCAGTACTAGTCTCCTCCCTCCTCCCCATCTCCTCCTTCAAGAAGCCTCCCTGGACTTCCTGGAGCAAAAGCCTACTTTGTAAGAAAAATTATATGACCGGAAATTAAGATCCCACGTTGAAATATAGAATTCTTGTTTACCCTGCCCTGGGAGAGTCAGGTTTTCTCCCAACCTTCCAGAATTTATTTTCTTTAGTTTCTACAATGGGAAATTGTAGAATGGGAAATTCTACAATGGGACTCACTGACCACTTCCCTGTCCTCGGCCAGCCATGTGAATCCTGAGCCTGGGGCCTCCTGAGCTGTTAAAGTGGTTTAGACAGGACACTGGTCGAGGCCGTAATTCCCTCCTCTGCCAGTTCAGGGTCTTTCTCTGCTTGGCCTCTGCTGAGTAGACAAGCCAGACCCAGGTTCAGCTTCAGGCCACTGTCTTGTTTCCCTTAGGGCCTCTCTCAGAGCTAAGACACAAAGGGAACAACAGGGAAGGGCCCCCCCCTGGAGGTCTGCTGGGCTCCAGGGTACTGGGGTGAGGTTAGCCAGCCGTGCTCAGCTGCCTGGCCCAGAGTCCAGGGCTCCCGCCCAAACTGGGAGAAGGCCAGCAAGCCCAGCCTTGACCATATGGGTGCTATTTTGGCCTCACAGGAAGCGGGAAGGTACCAGGGCCCGGTTATAGCCCAGGCTTTCCTCACCCTTACCTCTCAGCCCTACCCATGGAGACTTCTAGCACCGGAGCCTGGGAACTGGGAGCCCAGGTTTGAAACCTTCCTGGGCAAGATCTTCCAGCCTAGACTTACAAAGTAGTGGACAGGTGCCTCTGCTGGACGAGCCCCTGACCTTGGGGGTGGCCATGCCCCTCCCCCCAGCCATGCACCCCAGCTCTCCTGGGCATCATTTCCCCTATTCTCAGACAGCGTGCCTACTGAGGTTGCCTTCCTGGGAGACCCAGTCACAGACAATGTGGCCAGCAGGTGAGAGTCATCGAAGCCACTCAGGCCCACAGGCACAGGCGGAGGGGACAGGGACCAGGACACCAGAGATCCATTTCTCAATAACAGGGACACAATGCACAAACAGAATCTGGCCAAAGGGCTGCTGCCCCACACAGTTCCCCAGAGGGATGGAATCGATGCCACCAGCCCGGGACCTATGTCACCGGGCACAGTGCTAACCCCTTCTGCCAGACTCTATCCCTGTTCCCCCGAGCACAGAGACCCCAGCACACACACACACACACACACACACACACGCACACCTCCATAATTCTGGAAAAAGACTCTCACTCCATGCCCTCCATGGGGCCCCCTGTCTACTCCCAACCACTTCCACATTTGCAGTTTGCCTGTGAGGCTGCCGTCCCTGTTCAGGGAGGCAGAATAGAAAGAGGTGCTGATTGGTTGCCACAGACACCTGCTGACGCTCTGCCAAAATGTGCCAGGCGGCCATTCCTTGGTACGGGCCCACTCTGGTCCTTGGGTGCCAGTGGTGTGGCAGGAACCAAACTGCACAGGATCCAGAGCCGGCCCTCGCCTTCTGTTGTGGACTCCAGAACACTCAGCTCCCAGGCCTCCCCTCCAGGATGCCCTTCACCCTCGGCAAGTTCAGGATCATTCTGGGTACTAACCTTGTTCCCCTCCGAGGCACCTTGCCCCAAGCCCCCAGCCCCCCTCCCGACCTTCCTGTAACTCTCCTCTGTGGTAACCAGGGCCTTGACCCAGCAGCAAAGCATCCACTCTCCCTTTTCTATCACCTCCATCCTCCAGACCCCAGAAGTCCCTCTGCCTCTCTCTGTGGGAAAACATCGGAAAGAATTAGCTTCCAGATCCCTGTAGCCCCTGCTCCGTTCTCACCCTGCACTTCTGAATAGGAATCAGCAATATATCTGAGCTGAACTGCTCTCCAGCCCTTTCTCCAAAAAAAAAAAAAAAAATCCTTCTTAAAGCAAAAAGTCCTGCCTTGGAGACAGATCTGCAGCACTGACCAAGGGGAGAAAGTTCCCAAAGACCTGTCCCTACAAATTCTGCTTCCGTGTTGTGGCTCCAGTCTGCTTTCCATTAGAAAACCGCTTCGGCACTTATGATCACTTTACTAAACCTAGTGTTTAAAAAAAAGAAGAAGAAGAGAAAAGAAACAGAAAAAAGAAAGGTGTAGGCAAATGTAAGATACATGATTTCTGTAAGATAAATATTTGCCTTTTTTTTTTCTAAAAGGTGTATGTATTCTGTATGTGAAATTGTCTGTAGAGAGTTTCTATGTTCTTAAATGGCAATACATTCCAAAAAATCGTACTGTAGATATGCACAGCGGCCACACTGGGATGGGGTAGTTTTGCCTGTAATTTTATTTAAACTCCGGTTTCTACCCTTGCATCTTGCAACGTCAGTATGGTATATAACAGTGCAAAAGAAAAAAAAAACTCAAAAAAATCCATGCAGGTCTAAAGCACAGAGTCTGATGTACAAAAGGAAAAAAAAAATGCTCAGTATTGATGTGTGTGACCTTTGTTGTAAATTACATCTGTACTGTGAATGAGAAGTTTTTACAAGTATAATAATTGCCTTTATTACAGCTCTGGCTGAGTGTTCAGCCTGAGGATATTTTTTAAAAAAAACACACAGCACGTTGGAATAAATTTGAAAATCCCAACATAGCCCTGCTTGCCTGGCTCATGGTTTTTCTGGAAGGCTGTGGAATGTCAGAGCTGGAGGGACACTTGGTATCCCAAGTGTCTCTTTTACTATAGAGCAATCAGGCCCAGAGGAGGCAGGTGGCCAGGCCACAGTCACACAGCCTGGGACTCCCGTGGCCCCTGGCTTCCAGGCCTGGCGACTAGATACCACACCGTGTGGTCTGGGGTCTGTGTTTCCCAGGGCTGCCATAAACACCTCCCACTGCATAGGCAGCATAGGCAGCTGAAAACAACAGAAGTCTGTTCTTTCACGATTCTGGAGGCCGGAAGTCTGAAGTCTAGGTATTGGCACAGTTGGTTCCTTCTGGAGGCTCTGAGGGAGAGTCCGTTCCATGCCTCTCTCCCAGCTTCCATGGCCGAGAACGATCCTTGACACACCTCAGTTTGTGGCCACATCACTGGGATCTCTATTTCCGCCTTCCTGCTGCCTTCTCCGTAGATTCCCTACTGCCCCCCTTCTCTGCTAAGGACACCTGTCATGGGATTTGGGGCCTACTCTATCAAAGATGATCTCACCTCTAGATCCTTAATTGAATGTATCTGCAATAACCCTTTTCTCCAAATGAAGGTCACACTCACAGGTTGTGGGAACTAGGGCGTGGGCTTCACTTGGAGGGCCATCATCCAACTCACTACAGAGTAAGACCTGGAATCAGATTATGACACAGCTACGTATTGCCTTGGGCAAATTACACAACCTCTCTGGGCCTGCATTTGCCAACTGTGACATGGAGAGTGGTTGTGGGGATTACATGAGATCGTATATACAGGAAGGCTAATGGAGACTTCAACACTCTTCTCCGAGCAGGCCTTGCATGGGGTGCTGGGGATACCAGGGAGAAAAGACAGGCATGGGTCCCTACCTTTTGCATTGCATACTGATTTGCTGAGTGACAGTGAGGGGCCATGGTTG